ACCTTCGGCGGAGCTCCCTATGGGGCCACGGAACGCGTGAGGGGCGTGCCGAAATGGGTGTGGCTGACGCATGCGGGCGCGGGCACTGGGGCCTTCGGCGGGAGCTCCCTATGGGGCCACGAAACGTGTGAGGGGTGTGCCGAAATGGGTGTGGCTGACGCATGGGGCCTTCGGTGGAGCTATCCCTACTGGGGCCTTCGGCGGAGCTCCCTATGGAGCCACGAAAGTGTGAGGGGTGTGCCGAATGGGTGTGGGTGACGCATGCGGGCGCGGGCACTGGGGCCTTCGGTGGAGCTCCCTATGGAGCCACGAAACGTGTGAGGGTGTGCCGAAATGGGTGTGGGTGACGCATGCGGGCGCGGGCACTGGGGCCTTCGGTGGAGCTCCCTATGGAGCCACGAAACGTGTGAGGGGTGTGCCGAAATGGGTGTGGGTGACGCATGCGGGCGCGGGCACTGGGGCCTTCGGTGGAGCTCCCTATGGAGCCACGAAACGTGTGAGGGGTGTGCCGAAATGGGTGTGGGTGACGCATGCGGGCGCGGGCACTGGGGCCTTCGGTGGAGCTCCCTATGGAGCCACGAAACGTGTGAGGGGTGTGCCGAAATGGGTGTGGGTGACGCATGCGGCGCGGGCACTGGGGCCTTCGGTGGAGCTCCCTATGGAGCCACGAAACGTGTGAGGGGTGTGCCGAAATGGGTGTGGGTGACGCATGCGGGCGCGGGCACTGGGGCCTTCGGCGGAGCTCCCTATGGAGCCACGAAACGTGTGAGGGGTGTGCCGAAATGGGTGTGGGTGACGCATGCGGGCGCGGGCACTGGGGCCTTCGGTGGAGCTCCCTATGGGGCCACGAAACGTGAGGGGTGTGCCGAAATGGGTGTGGGTGACGCATGCGGGCGCGGGCGCTGGGGCCTTCGGTGGAGCTCCCTATGGAGCCACGAAACGTGTGAGGGGTGTGCCGAAATGGATGTGCGTGACGCATGCGGGCGCGGGCACTGGGGCCTTCGGCGGAACTCCCTACGGAGCCACGAAACGTGTGAGGGGTGTGCCGAAATGGGTGTGCGTGACGCATGCGGGCGCGGGCACTGGGGCCTTCGGTGGAGCTCCCTATGGAGCCACGAAACGTGTGAGGGGTGTGCCGAATTGGGTGTGCGTGACGCATGCGGGCGCGGGTACTGGGGCCTTCGGTGGAGTTCCTATGGGGCTACGAAACGCTGTACTGGGTGGGTGAAACGCAGGGATGAGGGGGAGGAGGGAGGAGGCAGCGGGAGGAAGGAAGGAAAGAAGGAGAACGCGGGGCACCGTCTCTTCAAAACGAGGACCCAACACCACAGGATGGTTGGGAACAAATGCGAAATTGTCATAGTGCTTCTCGGAATTGGCAAGCTGGCGCGGCTTGGAAAAGGGGCCCGTTTCGAGCGCGACCGTAGTCAACGCTGCCGAAACAAATAAATCAACGCAAAGCAAGGCAAGGCAAAGCGAATCGAACGAAGCGCGCCCCCTCCCCCAAAGCAAACAATTGCGAAGTTGTCCCAATGCTTCGCGGAATTGGCAGGCCGGCGCGGCCTTGAAAAAAGGATCCGTTTCGACTGCGACATTAGTCAACGCTGCCGAAACAAACAAGTCTCGCGCGCGCTGACTGAGAGCGAGCGAGCGGCTGGGCCAGCGCAGCCTTGTAGAACTGGACAGAATTGGCGATGAGAACGAGTCATGGCACTGGCCCATTAAACATAACGTATGGCATAGAACTGGCCGGTCCAGAACAGATAATGTAAAGATATCACGGTCTTTGCTCTTGAAAATGCGACCAGATCTTTGCCTTGTCATATGTTTCATGGGCCACTTCCATGGCCAATTCTATGACTAGTTCTGTCCAATTCTACCAGTTCCGCGCAGTTCGGAAGCCGACGATCACCAAACGGCGCGCTGCGAGCTTAAGCCAGATGGCGGTGGACCCCTAGACCCTTCTTGTTGTGGTCCTGCGGGTTGTCCCGTGGCTGTCCCGCGGGTTGTCCTATCATTGTCCCAGGTGTTGTCCCGTGGGTTTCCCTATGCTTGCCCTTGTCCACAAGGTCACCTGACAATTTGTCGCGGCGAATGCAGACACATGCACCAAAGCATGCATGAACGCACGCACGAAGGCACGCGCGCTGACGCTTACAAAACCACCGAACACATCTAACCCAGACGTGGTACTCAACACTGTCAGGGTGGGTATACTGTTGATGCGAGCTGCTTCAAATGTGCGCACGTCTCACGCGAAGGCCCAAGCAACGCTAGGAGGTGTGAGAAGCATATGGCAAAGCCGATGGCGAGACGCGGAGAAGTGCAGGGCCTGACGAATACCGAGGAGAGGGAAGGACGGCGGAGCCCGGAGAGGGCTCGAGGGCGCTGGAGGGGGGTCAAGGGGGTTGGGTGGGGGCTCGAAGGCGGGAAGGGGTCGGAGGGGGCTGGAGGGTTGGAGGGGGGTGGAGGGGTTGGAGGAAATTGGAGGGATTGGAAAGGGCTGGAGAGGTTAGGAGAAAGTTGGAAGGGAGGGGTGCAATGGCCTCGAGGAGGTTGGAGGGGGGGGGGGCGGTTCGAAGGAGCTGGGGGCGGTCAGAGGGGGTTGGAGGGGGTTGGAAGCGGTTGGAGGGGCTGGGGGTTCTATGGGGCTGGAGGGGGTTTGATGGGGGCTCGAGGGAGCTGGAGGCGGGCGCAGGGGACTCGAAGGGATTGGAGGGGGTTCATGGGGATCGGAAGGAGATGAACGGCACTGGAGGGGGGCCTGCGGAAGTTCGAGGGAGCTGGAGGCGGTTGGGGAGGCTTGGAGGGTCTCGGAGAGGATTGCAGAGGATTGGAGGGGCTGGGGCTTCGAGGCGGTGGAAGGGGTAGCAGCAGGGAGAGGGGGTTCGAGGGAACTGGAGGCGGTTGGAAGGGGCTGGAGGGTTGGAGGGGGTTCGAAGTGGATCGGAGGGAGTTGGACGGGACTGGAGGGGGGGTGGAAGGGCTGCGAGGGAGCTGGAGGGAGTTGGAGGGGGCTGGGAGGGGGTCGGACATTGAGGAAGGGAGTTGGGCCGGTGTGGAGGGCGGTGGGAGGGGTGGGAAGGGGGTTCGAAGGGGTTCGAGGGGGTTGGAAAGAGTTAGAAGGGTGCGAGGGCTGGAGGGAGTCGGCAAGGGTTTGGAGAAGGCTGGAGGGATCTCGGAGCTGGGGGCGGTTGGACGGGGCTGGAAGGGGGTTGGAAGGGGGCCCAGGGGGCATGGAGGAAGCTGGAGGAAGCAATGGGGCTTTGAAGGGGATGGAGGGGGTCGGAGGGGGTTGGATGGGGGCTGGATGGGGGTCGGAAGGGATGGGCGGGATTGGATCGGGTTGGAGGGGGTTGGAGGGGGTGGAAGCTTCGAGATGGTCGGAGGGGGGTGGGGGGGGTGGGAGAAAATTGGGTAATGTTTGGAGGGCGCTGGTTGAAGTTGGAGGGGGCTGGGGGGTTAAAGAGGTTGGAAGGGGTTGAAGGGATTGGGCGGATTGGAGGGGGCTGGGGGGGGTGGGCAGGGTAGGAGGGTGCAGGGGGCTGGAGGGGGCGCGAAGTTAGATGGGAAGTGAGATGGGGGTCCGAGGGGAATGACTGGGGCTCGGGGGCGGTGGAGGTTGGAGGGGGTTGGAGGTTGGAGGGGGTGGGGGGAGGTTCGAAGGAACTGGAGGAGGCTCGAGGGGGGCGGAAAGAGTTGGAGAGGGCGGGTGGTGGCTTGAGTGCGCTGGAAGCTTGGAAGGACATGGGCGGCGGCGGAAGGCATGGAAGGTTTAGGAAGAATTGGTTTGGATAGGACTGGAGGACTGGAAAAGGGCCCGGATAAATTTCAATCGAGGATCGAAGCTCGGGGAATAGGACGAACCATCTCAGCGGACAGTTTCACTGCATGCTTCTACGCTTCCCTGGTCAAGGAAATTCGCCTGGCGATCGTTTCTGGATGGGCGGGGCATGCGAAGCGCGGACATGCAACGCAAAACAAATCGAACGAAGCGTGGAACCTCCTAAAAACAAATGCGAAATTGTCATAGTGCTTCTCGGAATTGGCAAGCTGGCGCGGCCTGGACAAGGGGCCCGTTTCGAGCGCGACCGTAGTCAACGCTGCCGAAACAAAAAATCACGCGCTCTCTGACTGATAGCGAGCGAGCGGCTGGGCCAGCGCAGCCTCCTTATGGAACTGAGCATAGCTGGCGATTTAAATGGACATAGAACTGGCCTATTAAAGACAAGGTCTGGCATAGAACTGGCCGGTCCAGAAAAGATAATGTAAATGTATAGCGTCTATTCCATTCTGAAAATGCGGCCAGTTCTATGCTGCGCCTACTCGCGGGCCAATTCTATGACCTGTTCAATGACCAGCGCTGTACATGTCCAACCGCCCCGCGAAACTCTGAAGCCGACGATCACCAAATGGCGCGGTGCGAAACGGGTTCGCGCCACGTCTCGGTGGAATTGGTCGTCGGCTGCGCTTGTCGCTTGAGCCAGATGGCGGTGGACCCCTAGACCTTCCTTGTTGTGGCCCTGCGGGTTGTCCCGCGGTTGTCCCGCGGGTTGTCCCGCAATTTTCCCAGGGGCTGTCCCGTGGGTTTCCCGGTGTTTGCCTTTTTTTTGTTGGACGGCACGCATTGGTGCTCAATCGTCGCGCCCGAACCGTGCTCGAAGCATTGCGCGCACACGCGCGGGGAGAGCTCTCAATTGTTGCCACCACTTTCATGAATCATGCCGAAAGAGGCCTCTCCCCCTCGGCATGCACCTGCGAATTAATAAGCATTGGCCCTGCATGCCTGCACGCACAAAACATTATCAGCGGCGAAGTATTCCGCCGCACGTGCCCCAGCGGGGTAAAATACCGATGGGCGGCGGCGAAGGGAGAGCCAATACGAGAGCAGAGGGGGGAGGGGCACGGGGTCGGCGCGGGGAATGTAGACGAAAACAAACGTTCCTACGATGCCACAGGCACCAATTCAGCATCCAGAGCGTCGACTAGCCCGCGCCCCTTCAGCACAGGCACGCGCCCTTCTGCTTCCGCGCCACCTTCACCTTCTGCTGCCCCTCTGGCACGGCGAGCACCGCGACCTTCTCCGCCGCCCCCTGCTGCGCCTCGGGATAGAACGAGTACAGCGTGGGCGGGGGCAGCGGGCCCGCGTGGGCCGCAGCCGCGCTTGCCGCAACCACCACTGGTGCATGCGCGAAGGTTGGGCACAGGGGCCGCGAAGCCGGCGCCACGGGCACGACCTCCCCGTGGCGGAGCACGTCGGCGGCGCACACTGCCGGCCCGCGCACGGGCGCCGCTGCGATGGACGCGGCGCTGGCGGGGGGCCGCAGCGTCACGGGCACGAAGGAAGCCACGGGCCGGAGCTGGTGGGCCTGGCGCGGCTCCTGGGCGGTGGCCGCTGCCAGCGGCTGGGCTGCAGCGACAGCGGAGACGGCCGGGCATTGCTGCTGCGGTCGCTGGGTCATGGCAGCCTGGGCGCAGGCCTCCGCGCCAGTCGCCGCCACAACGGGCGCGGGCGCAGCCTCGCTGGCGGCAATATCGTCGCAGCGGAGACTCCGGCGGAGACCCCGGCGGAGACTCCAGCAGACGGAGCGTGCGCCGTGGGCGCCTCCGTGCTCTCCACTGGCCCCAGCTGTTGCTGCGCCGGCACGGCCTGCCGCGGAACGGCAACTATCGTGCGCGGGGCTGCCACGGCGCGCCACGCCGCCTGGGCTGCCGGCTGTGGCGCAGCTGGCGAGGCGTCGGGCGGCGCCCACTGGTAGGTCGCCGGGCTGGCCGTCGCGGCCGCGGTCGGGCCCCTTGGGGCTGCAGTCGTCGGGGCTGCCTGGGTGAAGGCACTGGCGATCGGCTCGGACACAGAGGCTGGGGCCGGGGCGACGTCAGCATAGCGGCTGCTGTGGCCGCCGCGACGGCAGCCACGGCGCCACCTCCTGGAGCCGCCGAAGCCACGGCGGGGCTGCCGGGACGGGGCGCGCGGGCTGCGGGGAGGGCGGGCACCGTCGCGGACATGGCCTGCCGCAGGCCCGGGGAGCGAGCTGAGGGATCTCCTGTGCAGGCCCGCTCGGGCCAAGGTGGCTCGAGCCAAAATGGCTACGGAGTCCCGGTGTTTGCCTTCTGGATTGTCGCACGGGCTGTCCCGCAATGGTCTCGCG